GCCAGTTTTTGGCTACTTGAGCTACTCATTATTTATTTCTCACTTTCAGTTTGGTCTGGAGCAAAAATCAAGACTACGAGAAAATATTCCTGGAATATTTCAAGCAAAACCTTTTTTTAAATTTTTTTTTAAATGTGTCACTCATCCTAACTCTACTTCCTCACCACTTTCCTCCCTCTTTTTTCTTCCCGATAACAGCTCACTGGTTCCGAGCGCCCGGTCGGTGGTGATGACAAAAGGAAAAAGGAGCAATGGTTGACTATAGAGATCTGCTGTTATGTCCTGTCACCAGCCAGCGGGTCACCAAACACACCCCGAGGCAACGGACAGGATGGGTGGAGGGGCAGAGTGGCAGCAAGGTGACAAAGGTGCCTATTGATGAAAATAGCATCAGGAGAGGAGGAATGGAAAGGTGGGGAGAGGGGGTCACGGGAAATGAGGGTATTTGTCTTTAAGGAAGAGATCGGATGGCCGGGCATCTTTCTGGCCAGCACAATCACTGTTGTCAGTGTGGCCACTATAGCACAAAAATACAAGGGCTCTTTATGAGACGGGGGAGGTAATTGTGGGGTTTAAGTTACTGTGGTATGTGTGTATTAGAAAGAAGGAGAGACAGAATACCACGGCACAGGTGCCCAGTCTTTTAAATGGTTGCTCAGGTATGAGGGAGGGGGGAGGAGGGAGGGAAAGATGGCAGGCTAAGTGTGTGTCTGCCGGTGGGGTCGGTCTTCATCTTTCTATTCAGTCGTTCACAGCCTCCTCTTTCTTCCATGTGCAGCCTCTGTGAGAACTATAACACAGGGGGAAGCCCCTTCTCACCTCCGTGTGGTGCTGATGATGGTGCAGGGGGGGGGGGGGGGGGGGGGTGGCTCACTGGAACAAGGGGACGCTCTGTTGCTGATGCTGACAGGTGCATTCATGCATACACACACTCGCATTAAGAATGGATTTAACATTCTGGTGATTGTGCAGGTTTTAGTTCATTTATAACACACGGCCGATGGTTTCCTTTCCTTTCATGTCACCGTCTGCCGCTGTCAGTGTTTAACTTTGATGTTGTTGGGTCTGTGCGATTTCAACAACTTGTTTTTTGCACTAGACAAAGATTGTGAGTGACAAACAACACCGAGGTACAACTTTGAGACTTTCTGTAGTTCAGACAAAAACAGCAGAGCAACGCCTCTTTTCACATCTGGATGATAAATGCTGTTGGACTTTTCATGCACATCAAGTTCAGGAAGATTTGAATGAAGCAGCTCATGAAAAACAAGGTGCATCAGAAATATTACCGATAGAGCTGCACAAATATTTGATCAATGATTAGGTAAGGCATGCACACACACACACATGCACGCACACACACGTACACACACGTACACACACAGTGGCAGGGGAGGTAGCTGAGCTGTGATAATGTGAGGTGGATGTGGCTAATGGCTGATAGCTGCTGATGCCACACTGATTAACTCCCTGCTTTATAGGACGCTGTTTATAGACCGACACACAAGACTGAAGCTCAAACTTAATAATGAACACACACACACACACACACACACACACACACACACACACACCCAAACACATAAAACACAACCAGAGAAAAGCACTCACATCAGGGTTTGACTAATTGTTTTAAGTGTCCGGGAAATTAAGAATTTAAAGTAAAGTTTGGCGAGAAATGAGAAGCGGTCAGTGGTCGAACTCTTTCAGTTTCCCTGAGAAATTGTACAATTTGAAGTGTTAGTCTCAGTAAAGTGTCTCCAGTGTGTTGTGATAAGCCAGCTCTCTTTCCTCATGCCTGCTCTGCTCTGCCGCCAGCCAAAACGCTATCACTGAATCACCGCCACTGATAAATCACACACGCATACAGATGGAGACAAACAGTGAGGCAAAGATGTGGCAACAAAGACAGGGACATGTGTACGTACACACAAAAACACACACACACACACTCAGGGTTAAGATGACAACAACAAACTGGCTGACACTGCAGCGGTTGTTGTTTCCTGTTTTGGAGCAGGGTGGCTTTCTTTGCAGAGTCAAAACACAAGTACATTAGTGTAGAGAGGGACAGGGAGATTTATCAGTGCACACACAAACACACAGGTAAGATTCTTTCCTTCAGTCCTGCAGTGTTATCTCTCTTTCAGGTCTGTCTCCCTTTCTTTCTTTCTTGATATGACCTCCTGGGCCATAAAATACCACTGTGTAGTCTGGGATAGAGCTGCTGTCGCTACACAAACACACACACACACAAACACACACACACATACACACACAGCAAGGTAGGGAGGGGGTATTGATAGCAGCATTATATTGATCTTGTGTATTGCAGTGGTGGAAAGTGAGACAACAGTGTTGGAGTTTGGCTCCTAATACAGACAATTATGCTGAGTCAAGAAAGCACTACTGGAAGCACTACAACATACAGTGTGTGTGTGTGTGTGTGTGTGTGTGTGTCATGCAGACGGTGTCCCATCACCTCAGGGAAGGCATAGATAAGCGGAGTGTATGGGCTGAGATAAGATGGAGCAGACACTGGGGAGACTGGCTGACTGTAAGTGAGTCACTGTGGGGAGAACTGCAGCTTTATGGCCTCGCTGGGCCTGAGGACACTTTCATCCTGATAGTTTCTCAAAGGTCGTGAATCTATGACGAGGTCTTACTGACATGTAGATGTCAGTACACAATCAAACCGGGTTCAGACACGACAGGATCGCAAGATATCGCATCGTGACACGGTTGGGATTGTTCCACACACTGATGTGAAACTGCGAAACTATTTATTTAAGAGAGGAATCTTTTAATTAACCGATCAAAGAAATACAATCTGCAGGCTGTGAGATCTGAAGCTTCATCCGGCTCACAACTGTGTCATTTTTCCTGCGGCTTTGATCTGAAGAATCTTGCTATCGGTCTTTAAAAACTCTTATTGGTAAGTTCTGCCACACACAGGCTTGTTCTTCAGAGGGAGGGTGAGACAAAGGTGATGTGTGTGATAAGAGGCGGCGCCATGGCAGTGGCAGGACACAACACTGAACCCTCCCTTTGAGAGTGTGTGCACACACACACACATACAAACACACACACACACACAGATAAGCATCACCTCCATCACTCTGTCCTCCTGTCTCTCTCTGCTCTGAACCAGTTGTGTGGAAACAGAGGACACTGGCTGGAGACAGAGGAAACACACAAATATGATACTTGGCAGACAGGAAGACAGACCGAGGGACTTAGACACACACGAGGTGCTTGCGATTCCACAGGTGAAGATGAAAGCGACTTCACCCCACTGGTCCGAACACAACTGTTCTGTATCTCTATGATTCAGCAGAGCTTTTCCAACCAAACATTAATGGCAGAGAGCAGAGACGTCGACACTAGGATTCAACAAACCAAGACTTTCAACGACAAAATGAGGCTGGATGAAAAAATGAAGCTGGCAAAAAAAAGTCACATTTTACAAAAAAAGAATACAATCATTCGAGAACACATGAATGTGTGTGTGGAAATGTCAAGAGAGACGCTGCAGGCTTTCTCTCATGTGACCAGTTTCACATGAATGAGACAAAAGCAAAGAAAACTGTGTTTCCAGTGTGTTCGTCTTGTTGTGATGATATATATGGATTCAACGTTAATAAACTATAATTTAAATGTATTTCCTGTTCTGCCTGTATGTGTCCACCTGTTGCATCATCTTGAACTTCGTTTCTCTTTTAACATTTGAGTCTCAAATTATTATTATTTAATTTTATTTCAACTTGTAATAATTCAACATTTACAGGATTGTTAAAGCACATGGGGAAAAGTCTGTTTTATTATTATAATTATATTATAAAGCAAGTGGCACAAGACAGACTCCATAAACCAAAGTCTGAAATGAAAACTAGAAAATGAAAAAATAAAAACTTATATTTGAGCAAAATGTCTGACCAAATTCAGAGAGTAAATTATGTGATACGAATATAAATAAGTTAATATTAAGTTGAAAAGATAAAAATGTGTGAAGAAAATAAAGGTCAGACTGTGTCCAGGTTTATCTGTTTACAGTTGCGTCGGGAAGGTGGAGATGAGATGACACTATCAGACAAACAACAATTTGTGGCACACCTATTTTGACACAAGCTCTAAATATTTCTTGACACCTGAGATAATGTTGGGAGTGGCTGTCTGTCCGTGTGAGGCCAGATCAGATGAGTGACTTCTGTCACAAGACAGCAGATAATACCACAGACGCCACAGTCACAATCTCTTATCACACAAAAGACAAGAGGATATAATGTCACGCAAAAAGTTAAGATTCCCTCACCCTGATCTCACACACACACACACACACACACACACACACACACACACACACACACACACCTAGAAGACCTATTGTAACATACACGAGCGCCAAACCCAAAAACACCCCCATCTCTCGGACTGTCACAGAGTGGTAAGAGTACAACATGATTATCTGATTCTTTCTCTATGGAGTAAGTTAAACAAGACAGTAAAAGATTGCGGATGTTTTAAAATAAGTGTTATAGGATAGGAAAAGCCATTCTCATATATACAGACAGTATATAAATCAATCAATCAGATATTGTTTGTGTAGCCCATATTCACGAATCATAATTTGACTCGTAGGGCTTTACAAGGTGCTACATCCTCTGCCTTGACCTTCAGTAAGACAGGTTCCTCAATCACGACGTTGTTTTGCATGATATTTGATTTTGATACAAATCAATGCAGGAAAAAGGAAAGTGCAGCCTTTAAAATGTACATTTGCTTTGAATCTACACCTCCATCCCTTTCTCACAGTAGCGTTGGTCCTTCACGTCTTGGAGGTAAAAGCCACCCGAGCATGTAAGAGTGTAAAACTGTAGTGATGACTCTATACTGTATTGTAACCCTGAGAAATTAACTATCAAATACTAAGTCTGTAGCCTGCTCGTGTCTAAGACAAACATCTGAACCTAAAATTCTCTGGTATTGAAACATGTATTCAATCATATTGTTGGGTGTGAATGTGTGAACATCTCCGGTCCATCGAGTAGAATTAAATGAAAGAGGTTGGAAAACGAGGGAATAAAAGAAGTATTCAGAAAGAGTAGAGTAAGCCATTGAGATGTCCTACCTGATCCTGCATCCATGATGTTGGACTGTCCACGACGATCAGCCACCAACCCTGAAGAGCAGGGCATGCTGACTGGCTCAGAACGTACCGGCTGGATCCTGCACACATATACGTGTATGTCAATTATAACAACCACAATGATAACAAAAAGGAAATATACAAAAATAACGACCATCCCTTCCCTCTGAAGCGACTCATAGAGTGTCTCCTGGAATTCTGCCAAAATGTTGTCAGGCGTTACAGAGGGAGAATTGTTATTATCTGAAAAGCAAACGGTATTTCTACATCCTGAATGCATGAGCACAAGTACCTGAGGCTGTGAAGGTCTAGGTCGTCGGTGTCAAAGTCCAAAAGAGGCTGTGGAACGTCGGTGGGGCCCTGGGACTGAAGCACTGAGGACGAGGAGGAGATGACTGTGGTCTGGCCTGAAGGGTGAATGGTCTTAAACTGAAACTGGGGGCCCATCCACAGGCGCCGGTGGGGCCCAGTATGGGTCACTATCTCCACCTGAAAACACAAAGGTGTATGATCCTGAGTAAAGTCAACCATTTATTAAAACACGTTGATAGGAATTCAACCAAAAGCCTCACAGTGATATGGAAGGAAAAGTCAGGGGGGGTAGAAAAAGTTAGTCAAGGTCCAACTGCCTTAAACCAACCGAAAGAAACACCAACATTTAAAACAGCGTTTTATATCAGAGACAAAAAAACATGAGATCTTACAAAATGCTCAAGTTCCTCTAGTAACTCATGAACATTACATCAAGGTGGCTACGCCCCGTGCTCAGTACTCAGATGAACTCATTTACATGCCATCCAGCTAAAAGCTCGATCTGCTCTCACACCACTCGAAGTCTGACAATGATGTCAGATCTCGTCAAGGTCTTGTGCTTCTTGGGATTGCTGGCGGCGTGATGGGACGGCATCCCAGAGGGCTAATAGAAGTGTGACACTGGCAACAGTATGGCAGCAAGGATGAGGTGAGGCCTACTGGGAAAATAAGATAGTGCTGGCATGGCAGGCGGTCCATGGGCGCTTAAGCTGAGTGGCACTAATGTTGGCTGAAAGTAGGATACGGAGTGGGTGACATAAACATTGGACTACTGCCTCCTCTGGTCTTCATCTCCACTTTGCCTTGAATTTGCTGGCTAACCATCCTCTGCTTTGGAGTCATACTTTTCACAGCACTCCCACGCTAACTGTGACGGTTCAACTCCCTGCAGCACTTAACACGTCTCTTGGTGTCTCACTATTCACATTTCATTATCTTTACCCTGTACACGTTGGTCTCTCACCTCAGCCACGCTCTCAGCTCACAGTCTAACTCGGCTCTGGCGGCCAGGTGACAGCTCACATTCCCCTAATTCTTCTGTGTGTCTGAGTTTGTAAACAAATGTTCGCATCTACACGTTTGTTTGTGGTTTCAGAAAGAATTCAGACCCTTTTAGCTTCTGACACATTTTATTGTCCATTTAATTTTAAAATGAATTCAGTCACCATTTCTGCGCACCAGTCTACGCTCAATATTACATGACAACAAAAGTTTTTCAGAAGGATTTCCAAATTGATCCCGAATCACAGTGGGCAAGGTAAGGGTGTAAGTCTGGGAAATGGAAGAATAAAAGAAGTTTGCAACCACCAGGACTCTTCTACTGTGTGGTGTCCTCGTCATGTGCTGTTAACAGAGGATAAGACGTCTTTAGAAAGAAGTTTTTATGGGTTACTCACTAGATTAATGGGCAAAGGGGAAACGAAAAAAATGAAATCTACAACACAATAAAGTGTATAAGTAATGAGTCCGAATACTATCTAAATCCACTGTATGTGGTCTGTCACAGCTGTTTAAATTAGGCCACAGAAGGAGGGAGGATTGTCACTCTGTGTGTGTGTGTGTGTGCGTGTGTGTGCGTTTTGCCAGTTAACACCATCGAAGTCACGCCCAGCCGCAGAGCTGAACAGCTGCCAGGGTGCTCTCTGCTGCGGGAGGGAAGGTCCAGATGTTACAGTCCAGTGTCAACCCCCAATCCGCCACCCCATCCTGTCTCATCAAAAAGAGCCAGTGACATTTTGACTCAGATTTGCTTTTCCAGGCGAGATTACTCTACTATCTCTTCAATGGTGACGAGCACCAAAACATTGGTATTTCTCACTCTGGTTAGACCCCAATGCTTCGGTTTTAAGAGTGGGCTATAGAAAGAAAAATGGCCTCTCCTCATCACTTACAAGACCTAGTATAGTCTGTCTTTCGTTTTTGCCAAATTGGCACAATGTAAATTAAGGTACTCACTTAGACACCAGCTCTAAATTGACATATCTAAAAACTAATTTTCCCATAATTCTGCTGTTCTCACTCCGAATGGAGTAGCAGAAGAATCTGTAATGATCTCTCTGATGCGTGTAGTGAGGTCAGGTGGTTTTACGACGTATGAACATCATTTCTCATTTTCCTGTACCTGCACCTCAGATCCTCAATGTGTGCTCACAGTACCCGGTACTCATGAGCTTAATGTCAAATGAGAAACAGACGTTAAGATGAGTGGTTTGGTTTTTAAACTGTACCTTGTTACTGAACTCTGCAAACAGACCTCTTACTGCTCATCAGGCGAGGTAAAGAGATCTTGACCATTTTAGAAGTGACGAGGATTGTTTTACTGACTGGAATAACTCGGACTGTTCACTAAAATCCTCATCATAAACTTATTCAATTTAACTTCATACCATGAGAACAAAACCCCCCCACAACAAAAATAAATATAATATCAAAGAGTAGACTAACACGTGGCCCCTCCCAGAAAATTGTATTTCTGTGATTGGAAGTATTGTATTGTACTTTTTCAATACAAATATTTGGAAATAAATACAAATATAGTAGAAAATTAAGACATTTGAATAAATGCTCTTAGATTACGGGGACGCTCTTGCGGGTATGGATGTGGAAACATAAATTAAAACATTTTCAACAGGAAGAGTTACTCCCACTTCCATCTTGGGTGAAAGCTACTGTATGAAAAAGATCTAATATTACATTTCCGAGCACTGGAAAATGCATCAACACAACTGCTCTGACAGGAAGTCACCAAAATCCAGGTTAGTGCAATGGACGGTTTTGCTCCCGGCAAACTATCATGGCAGATAAGAACCACAGCCTCTGCAAGCTAAGTGGGGTGAATTTAACCAATCAATTATGCATGCAGTGGAATTATTGATGGTAAAAATGTAGTACTGTAGGTTACCTGTCGGCACCGAGGATGAGTACTCTGAGGATTAACAAAGCTGAAAGGTTGTGGGGGCTGGATTTGTTCTAATATGCCTTCACCAAGTCCTGCACAATTCTGGCATTTTTGAATAGAGCCACAAAGCCACAACATTTTACAAATATGTGAAACAAAAACACAGACATCCAATGACTGTGGCAATATAATATAGAAAAGCTTCTGTATGAGTTGACAGCACAGTGAGAAAGAAACAGTAGCCTGGCTTTCACAACAGGAAGCAAACATAAATAAACAGGTAATCACAGTCACAATCAGACAACAACAATGTAAAATATTACTGAGACGAACGCGTCTGAGCTGTGGTTGTGTTTTCACTGATTGACAGCGAATGTCCCTCACCTGTTTCCTCGGGACGGACTAAGTCAACGTTACTGTAATGTTGAAGGTGAAGGTCATACCTGAGAGAGCCACTCCTCATCCTCCTGGCCACTGTGGTCCGATGCCAGACTGTCTGATGACTCGTGACGTGTGATCGGGCCTGGGCTTCCCAGAGGCATCGCTAAGACAAGACACAAACACAAACACACAGTTACATGACGGCACAGCCAAAGAAGATATTGACGTATGGAATATGCTTTACATTGACATAAGACTGGACAACAACTAGCGGTCAGAGTAAGTTTGCTCACCTAAGGTCAAAAACTGATGAGTAAAAGATAAAAGAAATCAAAGGACAGAAGAAAACCCCATGTTGTTTTGTCACATGGGCATATGGGTGCGAGCCAATGAGTGCGAAAAAGCAAAGTGTACAGTGAAGTAGAGGGAATCAGTGTGAGTTTCTACAGAGAGAGAGAGAGAGAGAGAGAGAGAGTGTATGACAGAGAGACCCAGAGACAGATGGGGCTCTCTCAAGCTTGAATAAGCAGGCGAGGAGAATGAGGCCTAATGTGTAGAATCAGTCCTCTCTCTGTCTCCCACCTCGGGGATGGGGTTGGTTGGAGACAGGAATGGCTAATAAAGTTGTCAAGTCCACATCTGGAGCACAGGAGGTGCTCCTGTCTTTCCACACACACACACACACATGCATGCACACGCCAGGTGTTCATACACACTTGGTGGAGGTAGTTGTCTCAAACACACACATACGCACGCACACGCACACACACTTCCCATCGAACTATGGGATCTGCACATTACTTACACCTGCTTCTGCAGTACAGTACTGTGTATAAAAAAGCTTGGCCTGGAAGGACTGGGTGGACAAAGAAAACCTGGGGATTATGAATGAATCGAATCGACTATTTCCTCATAATATACGTCACTCTAACCCCACCACCCTTTTGTTCCTGGTAGCAAACAACAGGTTAGTTTTTCCAGAAGGTGGCAGTAATGCACCTACAAGCTGGTTATGAACTACCATTAACCAACGAGAAGAAGAACATGTTACAACTAGGAGTCTTGGTATGCAAATGTATTAGCATTGTAGGCCGCTCTGGATATCTAGAAAATGTCTCAATCGATCCCAGTGTAAAAGTTGCGTTTTTGATCCTCACAACAAAAAATCCCCAAAAGGCCCATAGGTGGCGTGGAGGGAAATTGAGCTCGGGCTAGAGTCACAGAGAGCTAGAGATCCTGCTATTAGGCCATTAAGACAAACTGCCTTTCCAAGTATAGGTTTAAATAAACTGGTAAGACGCTGCCCCTCGTGTGTGAGTTTGGATAACATGTTATTGTTCCGGAAAAAGGATGTTTGACAAGAAAGCTTCCAGAGTCCAGGGAGTTCTGTCCCGCTAACACAGGACTTTTATTTTTACTCTGAGACGACCTCCGCTGCCAGCAAGAAGGTGGGACAACTAGCCCCTCCCATTCATTGTTTTTACCTGTTGTAGACATTGACAAGGTGGAATAAAGGTGTGACATTCTGACCTTGAACTGTGTGTGTACACGGGGCTAAAGAGACGAGTGAGTTGGCCGAGGGTTTCTCTCATTTTCAAATGGAAGAGAGAAAAACAAAACCTTTGCTGTGTTACTTATTAAACAAACACCCTCCCCTTGCCCCGCACCTCCTACTCTCTCTCCAGCTCTCTCTGCTCTCTGACCCTTGGGGCCAATAGCTGTTCCCTAATTAATTATTGATGTTCTGAAGCAGTTGGTGGACTGGCTAGCTCAGGTTTCCAGTGGGGGAGCTTTCAATGGCCAGAGCTGTGGCCAGGCTCCAGTGTGGGGAGCTAGTGGTCATCCCCATGGGTCAAGCAAAGACACAACACTCTGTGTCTGTGTGATAGCGTGTGTGTTAGTGTGCATGTCAGCAGCCAGACTGACCCCAGCAGTTACAGTCATATCTACTCATTTTAGTGTCCGGCTAGCCAGCCACTCCGACTTCTGCTTTTACAACGCTCATTACTGGCTCTTAAGAGACAGAACGTCAATGCAATTTCACGGAGACCAATTTTTTAAAGTGCAAACTTATTGCAACTCACTCACGAGGAGTCTGAATGCATGGGCCAGTTGAAATAACTGTTTTTTAAACTGATGAGCTTAAAGGAACATCAGTGACTATACAAAATCAGGACTTAAAAACTATCAGAGGAATGGAAAATAATCTGCACAAGTTCAGTGAACTTCCATTACATTTGAGACTGTGCAGATATTTAGAGAATTTGGAAGAATGTACTGAATGTTCTGACCACAGTTATCATGCACTGATGCCTTTGTGGTTCTGATAATATATGCTTGGACTATTTCTGAAGGAACCCAGAACGAGAATGCCAAAGGAAAATGGTGAATCTCAGCCTATTTCAGGGCGAATATACGATCTCCAAACACACAATCTCGCCAGGCTTTCATACCCATGTTCCACATTTCTGTGAAGTATTGCTGCTTTTTCTATATCTGATGTGATGGTGGAATGTAAATCTTTAAGTTTTGACCTGAAGTCATATTAAACAAGGTATTTGAAAATGGTCACTTTGGGTTTAATTCATTTTTACTGAGCAAATAGTGAATCAATCAATTTAAAACATAAGTTGAAAACAACAAAATTGGACAGCAAGAAAGAAAATAATAATAATTGTTGGTTTTAAAAACTGTTAAGTGGTCTCTAAGAAAATGAGTTATGAACACTGCGAAGCAAAATCTGCTGCAGAATACCAACAATCAGCAAGTAAACAGTAAAAATATATTTACAAGGATTGTTTAAGTATGAAATTATTAGTTAAATATTAGGGAAATTATAAATCTGCAGAGCAAGAACACACAAGGCCCTTGCTCATGATGGTTTTTTATAAAGATAAGCCAATAATTTATAAAATATGATTTCCAGCCAGCTCATAAAACAAATGCCCCGTTAAAAGCACAGAATGAATTAACTACAATCTGCTTTTCTTTTTTAATAACCGTCCTGATGATTAAGCACTTGCACAAGCAGAAAAACAATCTACACTGCTGAGAACAGAGTCGTCTATGTCCCAGTCTTTATTGACTGTGGAGAGAGTGGTGTTTTGCGGTGCTGAAGGCCTGTAGCCAGTGGCCTGTTAGCCAGAGCAGCGAAGCAAGGAGTCAGAACAAGAACAAAGGCTGATGTGGCCCAACCTCCCAGGGCCTGGGGCCTGGGGCCGGACAGGCCAATCTCCAGGACAGATAAGGGCCCAACAATCTGATAGATCTGCAGAGTTGGCTGCACGGTGGACAGAGGAGAGCCGTCTTGTCTGCCTGCTCTGTTCACTTTCCTGTCCACTTCATCTCTTTCATTTGTATTTTTTAAAGATGACTTCTGCTTTTATTCTCTCCTCTCTGTACTTTTACCCGCTGTACTTACTCGGCTCGCTCTCAACTACACCACCTGTTTCTCTTCTCACTTTCTCCTCTTCTCACTTTCCTCTCTTCTCGCTTTCCTCTTTTGAGTAGTACTCTGGCAGATAGATGCTGGCACGCTGACAGACTGGAATAGCTTAGTCATTATGTATCATTCAAGGTGTATTTGACTGACAGTTCTTTCATTCACCCAGCACTACACTTACCCCATCCTTTCTCTGCCTCTCTTTGATTACTGACCCAGTCATGGCGCCATGGTTTCTCTTTACCAAACGCCTGATGCTCCAAAGCCTTCACTCTGGCCCCTCTCACGGAGCAATTAGATCTATTGACGAGGCAACTGTGGCTAGCCTGTCATGGGCCTCTGCGTCCCAAGAGAGCAGCGGAGTCAGCCAGTCAGTCAGTCTCCACAATTAGCACATTATATGACAGGTAGGAAGGGGAGGGGGGGGGGGGCTACGGTCGAAAAAGCGTAGCCACTTTTGTTTGCCATCATCGCCAGGCTCAAAGGAGCCAGCCAGAAATCCANTAGGGGGGGGGGGGGGGGGGGGGGGGGGGGGGGGCTACGGTCGAAAAAGCGTAGCCACTTTTGTTTGCCATCATCGCCAGGCTCAAAGGAGCCAGCCAGAAATCCAGGTGGTAAATTATTCACTGGTTTGTTTGTTTCAGAGCATCTTTGCGTTAAGGGGAAGAGGTGTCGGGAAAATATACCGTGGACAGCCAGGTAAATATCGTGAAAACGTGAAAACCTCATGTATATCAAAGTACACACTGTTATGATAGGGATAGGAGAAGACTTTCAATGACCTTGACAACTTTGACTCTATTCAAACAATTAATTAACAGAAACATTTTTGGATACTCAGGTCAAGAATAACCTACACCTGCAGAATTAGAGGATTCTACAAATGTGAAAACCATGACACTTCTTTATTTACAGCCACATCATCTGACAGCATCCCCTCTATTTGTGAGTATACTGTATAATGTGTGTCTCTTTCCACCTTATCTCTCAGAGGCAGCGCTGTGCATTGCCATCCTCTGCAGGGCTGAGTGCTGCCAGTAGCTGCAGCAGATGGACAGGTGGAGATAGTGACCATGAAGTGGCGCCACCACTGCCTTTTATCATCCCGTCCTGCAGGCTCCGGTCTGGCCTGACCCTGGCCCTTCCTCTCCCCTTCCTATTCCTTCCCCTGCATACTGCATTTTTAATCAGCCTGGGTCATCCAATATAGAGCCACGAGACCGGAGACCAAGGCCTGTCAATCAAGCGCTGCCACCTCTCTGCACCGTGTTTTTAGAGACAGTGTTTGTTAGATGATTAACTGAAAGGGAAGTTAGAGACACTCCTTTCCCTCATTCCTCAAGTCTTTGAGTGTTTCCTGTCTCAGTAAAGATTTTTTTCATTTGAGTTGAGTCTTTTTTTTTTTTGTTCTGTGTTGCGATAGCTGTATCAGCAATGTAAATTGGACCTAGATATCACCATTTGTTCTGCAAGAAAGAATTGTGTCTTTTCAGTTTCCTCTGCAGCAGCTTGATCTTTATGCTCAACAAGAGGCGGCTGGACAAGCGGCGTATGGCTGTGCAGTAATTCATCCTGCGGTCAAATACTCTTTCTCCTGGATCATTTCTAAGCTGTGATGCCAAGCCCTGGAGGAAACGGCACAGCAGAGGGTTGGCAAGGAGACGCATGCTGGGAAACAGGATGTTGAGAGTCTGTACTCGGGTGCAAAGCACAGAAATGGAAGGTGGCACTCCAAGAGTGACCCAGTCGGCGTTGGTGGTGTATAGGATGCTGGGCCCAGAGGGAAAATGGCAGGAGCACAAGAACTGGGTAGAGGGCTGAGCAATTATGTTTATAGCATCTTGACCTTGCATCAGTTCACACTGGGTTGATTTGGGGAATACAGCGATGCGGCCATGTTATCTGGCTATTGTTAATTGGACATAAATGTTAATGCAATGAATCTCTCTCATTATGCAGCCACTTCCACAGCCCTGGCTGGAGAGAATGGTGGAATAGGCTGACGCCTGTGCCCGTCACTCCAACGCGTCCTCATCGCTCTGACACTAGGAGAGACCATTAGCACTAATTTGAGAAAATATCCTACCAGTTAGACCTGGAGCACCGCAGAAGTCAACAGAGACGAGTAGAAAGATTAGGGTAAACACAGCTACCAATTGCCCCAGAGCACCCGCAAGAGCTAATTACAGATTTTGTGTGTTTATAATTATGGAGAGGGCTCAAAACGGCAGCCTATTTCAGGGGGTGGATTGATTCCGTGTGTGGCCATCCGTGTGCACTTGGTGCTTTTACGATTTGGCCTTTCAGACAGCAACCTAAAGAGCTCTGTACTTGTTATTGAATTAGAGGGAGTTTAGGGTGTGAGCTAATTGGCCTCTGTGTGGCATCTTATAGCATTGTGCTAGCATGTCTTGAAGCAGGCTTGCAGTATGGCCGGGAAAGAATGGATTCAAAGTGCAGCACCAAACTGAAGACATGGGATTATTCCTGACAGGACTCAGAGGACATGAAATGGAAGAAATGGTAAAAAAAAAAAAAAGTCTTTGAGGAAGCAAACATTAAGGCTGCTGACTGAAAAGGTCCATTCTCTGCATGTGGCACCAATAAGAGGTTGAGGAAAGGCTTTCAACATAGTCAACATGGAAAATCAGCAGGGACTAAGGATTACCCCCTTGACGAATGACACATACAGTACATACACAAAACATACATGTTCCTGTGAGCATGTGCAAAGGAAACATACACAGACCTACATTTTAAGATGCATACAAGCAAGAAACACATGCAGTACACGTAGTCCAGTCAAATACTGTACGTCACAGTAGCAGCAAATACATTGCTGTCTGTCACAAACCCATTACACTTTCATGTGTGATTCAATTTGCTGTTACAAAATGATGTGCCTTGTAATTTATAAATTTCCACTGACTTATTATGAATTTATCTTTCCCCTTAATGTATGCATTTGCACACAGCTTGATACTATTGACTCTCGATGTGTACACAAAGATTAGCTCAGCGCTTACCAGCCAGAAGGTACTGATGATACTGCACCAGGTCTGAGGCCAGCACCAAGGGATGGTTGGAGTTGAAGGGTGGCTGCAGCTCGTTCCACTGTGGAGTCCTGCTCAGAAATACAAGTCAACCACGGGACTGGCAGCATGAGACACTTTTCACAGGACTGAGTGGTCACTACGACGGTACCTCGCTAGAGTCCAGCAGGCCCTGGGACAGGTGTTGAGCTCCAAAGGTGTGTCATCGCTGATCTTCTGAGCGGTGCTGATCGGCCGAGGCTCCAGGACGTGTTCCACCAAGTTACCATAGCAACTGAGGATATACAGTGAGTCGACAACCGACTGCCTGGACTGATCTGTGAGAAGGAGAGAAAAATATTTAAAGCTGCTTCTAAATGTAATGATAAAAAAACTTCGATCTTTCTTAATGAAAAAGAAAGACTTTTTGGTGTTTGGACTCTGCAATGAGACGATGTTCGAACCTTTCTCCCTTTTCATGTTGGGGTTGGTGATGAGCCAGGAGCGAGACGAGGCAAAGATGGCGGCAACACAGAACTCTCCTCCACTGGATTTACTCGGTGAAATCTGGGGAGGCGGCTTAGTTTTGCTTCAGGAAGGAAAAGAGTACAGCAATGAGATGAAGCACTGCGGTGCCTGGGGTTCTGAAGATGATGTGCAGGTTTGTGTTTGTACACGTGTACTTTAAATTTATAATTTTTATAATTTGATTGCTCTTCAGTGACATAAATTAGCCAGTAAAGGCTGTCGGTATAGCAGTTTTCAACAATTGGGATTATTTTTCTTATTGTATGTGGTCTGTCAGTGAATCTGAAATTAAATATGTAGCATTTTTAAGACCAGGAATTTCCAGGAGCTGTAAGAAAACGTCACGGTGACATCAATAATACCAAACTTTGCAAAAAAGTGCTTTGCATGCAAGGAGCAAGGAGAAATTGAAATGCCTGCAAGTAAAATGAACAATTGCACTGACACAAAAGCAAATGAAAAAATTGAGGGGACAAAAACAAAAACAATCATATCAATTATTAAATACCGAGTAAATAATCAAAATTAGTCCAAATCTAAGAAAAGTTATTCCCAGCATGATATTATATTATTATTAAAATATTAACAGGGTGGTTTGTTTCATTCAGTAAAGCTTCCTCATTCATTTGAATCAATGTTAATGGGAACCATCGAACTAACTCTTGAGTTTAAACCAGCAAAACAACACATTTCCAACCAAATAACAATCTCCACATTTCACTCCAATTATAAAGTGAGTGAATATGTCACCACTGACAACGCGATGGATTATACGCTGCATACATCAAGTGTCCACACTAGCACATCTAGAGAGTCTTCTCTGGCACACCTGCTCCTCCATATGGTGGAATCAATAAAACTTGAAGCCACACTGGATCCAACGTGATCTAAAGGATATTGTAAATGAATGCATACATACAGTTATCATTCAGTTTAACATGCGGCTCACAAGAGCCACGTCCAAGCTGCCTCTCCTCGCTGGTTAGCCATGTGTTGGCCACAGGAGAGAATTTATTAGAGGTTATTGGATTATTCAGCTTGTCAGGACTGTTTGGGAGGAAACGGACACAGAAAGGGATTTCAGCTGCACTATGGCTCTCCATATGGTACTGATCAGAAAACAGTAGCGAGGCCTGGTATTATTGTCTGGCCTTATAACCAGCCTGGACAGTAAAACGCAGTCACAGCAGATCAGGTATGAGGTGGACTAGAGACTTGAAGACCCATGGTGGTATCACACACTCCCTGAGGGCTGCTTAACCTTGACCTTTGGAAACCACACTGGCATGAGAGCAGCACACTCACTTCTGTTTACACTCACTTGTTGGAGAAAAAAAAGACTTGAAAGACTTAGTGGATGCAGAACTACACTTTTTCCATTTTTCGCGCGAACAAAAACGTGACCTGAAGTCAATGGTGAAGTATTTCATTGTTATTTGAAGGTTTTAAAAGATGCACTCTTTTTGTTACACACACACACACACATTGCATACTCATGCATGAACTCGATCTGTTGAATCTGCAGAGAAGCGTTTGCACTCGCTCCACCAAGTGCAACCGTTCTGTAACCATGCGCCTGGTGTCGCATCCTTTTATTCCGCTATCAAAGGAGCAAAAGTTAAAGTCCTTCATGTCTCTGATGCAAACAACATCCATTCAACATTTTTATCAGCAGAAAATAAATTAATTTAGGAAACAGGAAAATCTACTCGTCCAAAAAAAATCATGTTCACTAAGTTTATTTGTATTTATTTTAGAGGTAGCATTTTATATGCTCTTTGACTGTAGGTGGCAGCACTGGCAGATCCACATTCACATTTAAAGAATGCTCTGACGTGGACCAAACAACTCGCCTTTGTGGAATTTAGTCGCCAATCAACAAAAAATCTAGATGTCAATGTGTAAAGTCTAGTAGTTAAGAAACGCCCCCCCCCCCCAGACTCTCTTAAATTACTCAGGGAGATCAGGGAAACGGGAACGAACGTACTCATAACAGCGGCCTCTCTGCGAGTTTCGTAGCTTGTGTTTATTGGTGCTGGGTCAAGGAGAGAAGGCTGAATGACCAAATATCCACAGTAAGCCCTGTCTGTGAAGGGAAGATGAAGGGGGAGATAAAGTCACACTCAGGATATTGCCTTGGCTAACTCCAGGGTGCCCTTGTCTTCCCCTCCAAGCTCATCCTCAGGCCTACTCATCTGTCAGTGTGTCCTGAACAAAACACATTTAACAAACAGGAACAGTTAGATATTCGCTACCTACGCATGGAGCGTTTCCACCGCTGCATTTTCTGCCTCTGTCTTTCAGTGTAAACAAGAGGCAAAGCAAAACGATGATGAAATCTGAATCGAACGTAAATAGACATAAAACGTGTAAGATGGTTTTTGAATTTTCAAGGAAGCAGCTAGCAGGGGTCCTTCAACATTAAGACGGCTGCAATCACAAACAGGGGACCCGTTTGGACTCAGAACACCACATCATTTCTGTTCATTACTCAACAGAAGGAACAGCATTCCCGACTTTTACAGTGTCAGAGAGCTGCAGAGTCAAAGTTCTTCTTTGGTGAGGTGTTAAATTGCCATAAACCCTGGTGCTCCGTCTCTCTCATTGCTGGAAAATATGTTAAACCCTCAAAGACTCTGTGGTTCACTGGTTCCAATAACCCAGGAAACACAAATCCTATTTCAGAGCAAGCTGAGGTTTGTTTTCTAGGGTGAGAGCACCGGGCTGAGAAATATACCACACAGTGACTGACTCTACGTATTCGAAGATATTCTAACCGCCTCACAGTCTCCTTGTTGACTTTGGACACGGAGGGAAGATGGATAATACATCAAGGAAATAAATTGTCTAAATCTGACTGGTTTACTTAAAGGAAGAATAAAAAGTCGGTGAGAAAAAGAACAGTGGAGATTTTTATTTCACGATTTTAGGGAAGGACTGACCAAGTTGCAAAGACGCATTCTGATCTTACACAACTTAATATATATATATAAATTAAGTATAATCAGCATACAATGTGTATTTGATATCAAGTGATGATACTGGCTCTACACTGTGGCCTCACAGCGGAGGAGCTGGATCTGGATCTCTTTGAAGAGGCCTCAGTAGCACCGAGCGTGCCAACAGTACCAAAGATCACAGCTTGGTTCTCGACTCCTCCGGGTACAGTGACCACCAATTCATTCAACTGTGTTTTAAATCATCCTTTTTTCTTCTTGATCTCACTTGAAGTGTCTCAAACGTGTTGAGGTTTCTCCCCTCTTACGATACAGACGCACGGTTCCAGCAGGCAGGAGCGTGATCCTCCTCTCCATATGACTGCGAGCAGTTTTTGGAGTGGGTTGGCAAACGACACCAAGCTCCAAAAATGTAATCCAATATCAATAAATTAAGAAATATAAATATACTAACAGTGTATTGAGAGCAGGGGCAGATGGATGTCACTACAATAGCAAATCTCTTTTTTTCCCTCTCCCTCCACAGGCTTTACTATTGTACTATTGCCTTTTAGCAGCGAGTGGAATCCATTTTCTTTGCAACTTTAATCCACTGAAAAGACTACTCACATGTCATTTCCACTTTTAATTTAACAAATGAGGCCTCTTGACTGAGCTAATAGCTTTTCCTCAAGGGCATAATTCAATCTGTGACATCAACCATCAAAGTCCCTTCACATTACTATGTCCGGGGCTAACGTGAGGCGCCTCTGAGGGGGGATGGAAGTCCAGTGGCAGCTTCCATTTATTTTCAGGGCCCTTGCAGTACACAAACACGATACCGCTCACTTCAGCTGGCCGTCCGGTGACAAAGAGCTATACAGCTGATGTTGTGCTGATTCTGGGCCATATGGTTAATTCATATCAGAAACAGAGCCGGTGTAAAGACTGTGACCAGGGAGGGGAAGAAAGAGAGGGAAGTCATGTGGAGGACACATCCTTCAATGCCACATTTATTATTTTACAAGAGCCCTTGGAAAACAGGCAGCCTTGGGGCTGTGTTGAACACACAGCACTGATGACAACCACTGGGGAAACTATGAGCACTGGAGAATGGGCATCAAATGTTCAAGGAGAAAACAACTCTATCATACTCTCCAATATGTGCTTCACTAGGCATGCACGATTATTATATGTAATTCTGTAATTTAATTTAAATTGAGTAAGTTTCTCTTACACTCACATTAATATATATATTTATAGGTGCACGTTTTCAATACAAAATCAACTTAACAATATGTGCCAATTACACGAAATGGATATTTGATCGGCTTTGTTATCTGCGTGAAAGGAAATGAAACGGGGATCTGCTTCTAAAATGTGTTCGTATGCTCGACGAACGGCTGAGGCGGAAATGGTAAATGGGTTGTTAAAGCTCACGTCTCAGGACATTCACTATTAGAGAAGCAACTAGCTCCAATTTGAGCAGAAAGCAGTTATTGTGAGGTCGAGATCCTGACACTAATGATGTTTACCTTGGAAAAAGCATACGCTCAGAAATCACTTAGGCGCCGAGATTAAGCAGGGGGGTGGATGAAGATACAAAGAGAACGCTTCAATTAAAAAGTAAAAAGAATGACAGGCCACAACAAAAGATGAAACCCAAACCTTAGGTAAGCCACCACATGCTATTCATTTTAAAGTAAATGAAGTCAACAGGGAGCTGGAAGGTTCACTTCACTGGGCCACTCTGTCATCGCTCCGAGAGTCGTTTTGAGGCTGGTCCCCCCCCAGAGGAAAAGGATCCTTGAATCGAGAGATACTCTGATCCCCAGTTTTTCTAATCACGTTTCAAATGTTTTTCAAGTTAAGTTTTTACTGGGATGGTTTGTCACTGCTCTAATCTCTCTGCCCCTCTGAACATATTTCTAGTCAGAATGGAAACGATGGCGCCAGTTGCTCAGAGTTACGTTTTTCAATTCCAAATAAAATGCAGATTTTAAATGTACTATTGCAGCACTGTGAAAAAGAAAATACGAGAAGGCTCCGAGTTTCAACGTGACAAATTTCAGGTAAATCTTGAGTTATCTTAAATTCTTATTATCCATTTTAGACATTTTATTTCTGTTTATTTACGATTAAAAATCTGTTAGCTGTAAGTCAGAATTTTCAGTTTATAAATGAACATGAAATAAATGCTAATATGTAATGACAATGTTTATAAGTACCTTGAATTATTAAGCTCAATAAACTTGATTAATTCAAACACAACAAACACAAGTAAGCAGAACTTTCTGACAGCAGCTTCAGTTATTATTATAAATGATTTAATTTAAATTAAAGGCTTAAAAATCTCCATTTGTCATTAACATTGAAGAATATAAGTCGCAGTTTTTACAGTGTGTGAGTCGTGCGTAACAATATTTAAAAAACATTCATGATGTTTTTAGTTTTATTAATTCAATTAATCTGATTTTACTTTCTATTTTGTTCACTTTGTTGATAGTTCAAAAGCACATTTCTATATCCACACAAGACACTGTTCATATTAATACCAGAATATACGGCAGAGCACAACACTGCGTGCAAACACACATCTGACATAAAAAATACGTAACCAAAGTGGGCTAAAGGAAAATATGAACAATATGTGTAACACAAAGGCGTTATTCTTGAAAAAACACCATGGAGGGTCTAAACTGAGGGAAAGAAACAGGCAACAAGACAAAGATGTCATTTTCTAGTGGGTGGCTCAAAGAAACCACATGGCAACCAAACAAGATGTGCTTTGGCATTGGCCTGAAGTCCTACAACGTGTCCGCAGAACTACCACCTATGATATAAACCTAAAACATGCTGTTTTAAACTGGAATGTTTGCAGCCTTAACAGGTTCAATCAAAATATATTTATATTTTTATAGAAGCCAACAGAAATCCCTCGCTCACGTAACTTTAATCGTGAGTTCAGATCTAAAAATACACGCAAACAGAATAAAGGAGGGATCCCCCCCCCCCATGAGGAATGACAGCACAAACTCTGCAGGATATGTCAAAAAAAACACAAAAAAAAACAACAGGAGACGTATCGGAGGCAAAGGAGAAGGTGTGCTGCGGCGGAGTACAGTTGCATGCTGCTGAGGGAGGGGAGAGGCAAAACTCACCATGGAGTTTTAATGGCAAAACATCCTGCCCCAAAGAGGTAGGGTCTTCATGAAAGGGACGGTGGTGGGAGGGTGGGAGGGTAGAGGGGGGTGGGTGGGGTGGGATACAGAGATAGACGGAAAAACCATTATTAAACTCGCACACTTGAGCAAACACACTTTTCACATTACATACTTTTTGACGTGTCTGTTTAAGTGCACAACACATATGAGGCAGGAAACTGTACGTCTGCGCGCAAAGACAGATTCGGAAACCTGCGGGACGGCTTGATGACTCATCTGCTCGAGCCGCACTGTAAAGTGTGATACCATATATTTGGCAGATGTAGCTTGTCCGCAGACTTTGTTTTCGTCTTCAGATATATATCATGTTTTTTTTTTTCCTTTTTCTTCAGTAACTTTAAAGGGACGGGGTTGGGGGGGGTGGTGGGGTTGGGTGGGGGTGTACATGTGCGGGAAATTGAGGAATCCAACCGACACAGAGAAACTTGATTGTTGAGATTGAGAAAGAGTATGAAGAGTTGATCTAATTTGTATAACAACTGGGGACACCAATAAAACTAACAGCACCCAGGCATTGTTGAGACAAGGAGTTGTGTATTTACATGCGTCTCCTTTTTTTTTTTTTTTTAGTCCAAGTGCATATTTATTGCCATGCATTGTCTTGTGAATATGTTTGCCTGTTTGGAAACACATGTGCATTTGCTATGATTATGTTAACAAATACATTCTGTGTGTGTGTGTGTGTGTGTGTGTGTTTGTGTGTATACGAGGGAGCACCGAGTGTTGTGTCTTTTTCAGGGTGTATTTCTGTCTGTCGGTCCGTGCGTGTTTCTAGTGTTTACAAGACATTAGGAGTGGGAGTGTGTTCCTGTGTTTATTCTGCATGTCCAGAGATAGTGACAGAGCTCCGTAAACAGTTTACAGTAAATAAGTCTTTTCCTTGCAGCAATAAAGGTCCGATGAGACTGAACTCTGTCCCCGCCAGCCAACCTCCCCCGGTCATGAAAAACAGTATCCCCAGCCAAACAAAGCACTCTGCAGCACTTCTTTATTTTATCGCTTTCGCAGCATCCGCCTGGGCCCTCCCAACGATAGCACACAGTCTCCAATTAGTCTTGGTACATCGATGTGTAGAAAAATGTTCCTCTGGGAGACAGGGAGCAACAATTTGCCCTGGAATGTCTTACTCCTGGAGCGCGAGTTGATAAATGAACACGCTGGTTGGTGTAATGGAGGCCCCTGGTAAACTGCCACTTATCAAAGAGCTGCGGAGGGGGGTGGATGGTCTCTATCAAACCTGCTGAGCCCCCACTCGGGGCCTCCAGCTGGGTAAATGGATGGACACCAGTGGGAGAGTGATGGGCAAATGGGGGCGGGGGGGCGGGGGGTCTACACGGTAGGAGCAAAGGCCAAGTAGGCTTTGGGGTTTCTACTTGCCACTTTGAATTTCTCCCGTCTTGTTTCTTAAAACTTATAACTGGTTGATTTAGTTGTTTGTGGCTGGGAGAGTGTGGGAGTAGAGTCAATGCAAGGAAAGTTAGAGGAGAGTTAAAGCCGAGTGAACAGAACTCCGTCATTTGGACTCATCCGCATAAAACAAGTCCCACCTCCATGTGCATCTTTTTAAACAAGGTACAGTGTGATGGAAGATCACGTCTTTTTAGATTCCAGCACATCGACACCACAAGACGTCTACGTGTGGCCCACACACACACTCACATATATATTTATATTTATTTATTTTTCATTTTTGCATCAGTTGTATGTTAGAAGCGTCATCAGCCTGGTGTTAACCTCTGTCCAGAGATATCTGATCACAAGTGGACATCTGTAAGAACGTTAGAGCACACATGATGTTAGAATCCGTCCTGAATGATTCTCCTGTGACCACTTGTGATTGGATCTTTGCTTTCCGCTCTACACACACACACACACACACACACACACACACACACACACACACACACACACATAAATTCTGTTCATGAAAATTGTGTTTTTGTCAAAACAACAATGACAGATGTGTGTCCACTCTTTCTCTCCACAGGGAGCGAGTGGAGCCAGCACGATCGAGGTGTACCAATGCGTGCAGCTTTACGAAGAGTGAAATGATATAAATAAAATAATAAATAAAAATGAAAGTTCAGAGGAAATCAGCTGAGCAGTCGGTCCTTCACATGTGGCCCAGGACACATTCACATGCACACTGCTAAACGTGGAAGCATAGGAGATGGAGCTGTAGGGCACCAACCAGAAGGTCGGCGGTTCAATCCCCATCTCCCCGAGGTTCAATCCCCATCTCCCCGATTCCATAGAGAAGTTCTATATGAATACAAAAAGGGTCTTAATGATCTGATGTCGGTGCGTTCACACTGTCGCACTGTCCATTTGTGATCTCAGATAACTCAAGACAAAGGTGTAAGTTACTTCTCTCCTCATCTTTTAAAAAGGAAAGATGATCTTTATCTGTGGCATAAACTATTAGAAATCAAGTTTATCCTTCAAATCTGTTCGTTTTTAATACACAAATTATGAAAGTTGAATTATCCTACAGTGATGTTTTGTGCCCATTTAAACTGGTTCAGCTGAAATGTGGTTTAAATCTTTGAATGCACTACGTTGAACGTCACCTTTCATTTCAAAAGCATAAAGGATTTTTCCTTTAAAAAAGAGAGTTTCGCAAAAAACACCCTAACGAGAAGCGTTCGCTGGTGGAAGTTAACCACTTCCACCGGTGTTTGACCATACAGGCCTGTTGTTATATTTAAGTGCATTCCATTTCAGCTTTAGTGTTACAAATAAAAACGTCAAAATTCAACACTCCGTAGAATAAAACAAAATAATGAGGTCATGTTGGGAGAACTGCCCACCATGTTGAGCTGGCAGTAAACAGTTCTGACCACAGTGTAGACAAAGGCCGCCCAGTTATGTGACGCACTGCCTGATCCAGCAGGTTTAGTGGAGAAATGTCCCGTGGGTCAGCGTTATGTTGGAAAACACAAGTTAAACATGGGTCAGTGGAGTAAAAGGGGTGTAAGACTGTGAGTGGGCGCGGAGGCTGAAACGGAGGAAAAGAGCAAACGTAATCGACCTGTAAGGGCGACGACCCCACTCCCGGGGAACAGTCGTTCACACATTTATCTCTTACCCCGTTGGCTCTAATAGCAGCTCCGCCTGAGCTATTAAAAAGAGGGAAGTGAGGTGATTTGTGCAAATGGTTTAGTGACGCCGGGCGAAGCGTTCTTAAAGCCCCTTTCTAGCTTTGTTCTCAGCGAGGCTCTGTGTGACACCGGCTCATGCATTGTACCGGCTCTTACGTACGTATTACATTAATCTGAAGGCACATCTGCGGCAGGTCACGGGGTCTCGTTCATTCCCTCGCTGTTGTCTTTCTCATTACCTCATGTGCACTCCATCTGCATTTGCTTGAACATGTCATCGGCAGGATTTGGTCAAGGGTTGTGTTTTGTTTTGTGTGTGTGTGACAATCTTTCCATTTGGCTTTTCATTTGTTTGTGTTAAACTCAGACTGTGTGTAGAAGGGATGAGTGTGCAGCAGTTTGTCTTTTGACAGGCATTCTGACAAGTTAAACCCATCCTCAAAGGAATCTGTCACCGTGGGGACAGTGGACTTTTCCCCGCAGCTGATGCTTTTAATATTTCTCCCTTAATCTTTTTCACAGATTAAGTTCTGACGGTGACTTTTCACCATGACAGAACCTTTTGGATTTAGTGACTAATGTCTTTTTCCGCCTTGCGATTTAATTCATCTCGGTCCAAATTTGGCTGACAGGAAACAAGAGGCCGGGTCAGAGCCGACACTCCTCTCCAGGTTCAGCACTCCCAAGAGACTTTGACGACTAGCAGGAGCTCGACTGAGCTCGACTGAGCTCCTCCACTCCCTGACCTGGCCTTTTCTGGAGGGGGGTTATCAGGCGGATGCTGAACCACATCCGACTCTACCTCCCTGCTCCTACAGAGGAAAACACCAGACTCTAAATTAAGAGAGGAGGGGCCTGAGCATGAACTTACTGAGGTTTGCTTTGATGTTAAAACTTTGAGGCCTCTGAAGACAAACAGCAGCACATTGCGCACACTGGTGGTCTGGAGCTGAGCCAAGGTCAGTGAAGGAATCCCTGCACTGGCCTGGTCACACAAACTGGGAAAGAGCTCCATCGACGTGTGAGAACAAGTGTATATTGTGTGCGTGTGTGTGTGTGTGTGTGTTTCATGGCACGATAGACACAATGGAAGCCTAGCAGGGCATGTAGATTAAGCAGCTGGTGTGTTCTTCTGCTGCCCTGCCAACAGGGATCTGCTCATACAGGTGTAAATACTAAATACAGCAGCTGGATGCTCCTCTCTCTCTCTCTCTCTCTCCATCACACACACACACACACACACACACACACACTAACTCCTTACCTTAACCAATTTCAAATCACACAGAGAGAGAGAGAGACAGAGCAAGAGGGAGAGAAAGAACAAGATGGCTGCACAGACAGACAGATGGTGCCTGGATACTCCTGTGGAAGTATAGCGTGAAAGCATACGATATCACCCCCACCTCCCCCCCCCAACTCTAGGGGCCAGACCTGCTGCCTCACCCAGTGTGTTTGTGTGTTTTCGGTGTGTGCGTACGGGAGCAGGCCACACAGCTGCATGTCCTGGTGCATTAATACTGACACCTCCTCTGGACGGGATGAAGAGATGGATGAAGGAGTAGTGAAGCGGATCTTTATCGTCACGGTTGCAACAATAAACACGCCGAAGTCTACCAATGGTTAAAGTTGTGGAAGAGTTGGTCCAGTTTTTTGGGGAGAGACGGTGGTTGGGGTTTAAATTCAGGACGTTCACGGTCGAAACAGTGGAAACAATGTGATGGTACGATGTATGAATGCGGCTCATGTTGTGGAATGTCATCGCTGATGGAAACAATATTGACTTTTTATTTTTTAACAGGAAATGAACAGAGGTCTCCCATAAAGTTCTATGAGCCGATCCATCCGCCCCCAACAATCCTGAAGCAGACCTGGTTGCTATTCTTAGTACGTAACCTCATTTCTTGCTTCTTTGCTCCATGATTACTTGTTATATTAACCAAGGCAACTCGAAGTTATCCAAATGGCACAGACAATCTTTTTTTATTTATTTTTTTAAACAATAGGACATCTCCCTGACATGCTGACCTAAATCATCAAACGTGTATCAGTCCAGAAATGAAAATAGTCCCAGACATGTGCACTACTTCCTCCAGTTGGAGTAATGTTTGTTAAAAACTGCAGCGACACGCTGGTGCAGGCTTTCATGCAAAAAACATCCTGCTAATTTGTTTTACATGTTTGACCTGCAGAGTGAATTATAACAAAAAGAACAGCACTGATAAATAAACTAAAATAAGTAGAAATGAATGCCTTGTATATGGAGACAAGAAAGAATCTCAAAATACAGGAGGGCTTAAAGGTACAGTGTGTAGAATTTTGTGATATCTAGTGTTTAAATTGCATGTTGCAGCTGAACACCCCTCACCTCACCCTCTCCTTCTAAACATGTAAGAGAACTTGTGGTAGCTTGAGTCGTCATAAAAACTCAAAAGGTGTTTAGTTTGTTCAGTCTGGACTAATGTAAAAAACATGGCGGCCTCCGTAGAGAGGGTCCCCTCCATGAAAATATAAAGTATTTAAATATAAAGGACCTTTTCTGGAGTAAAGAAAACTACAGTTCATACAATTTAGATGAAACGAACTAGTTAAAACATCATGAGGATTATTCTACATTAAATTTCTGCCAATAGTTCCTTTCACCTAAATCTAGAGACACTGGACCTTTAAGGTCTTAAATAAAAAAATAAAAACTAGATTGTCTAACATTATATTGATCACAACTGCAAAACCAGATTCAACCACGAGCACCGGGACATCATACCAAAGCTGTGTTGCACAGTAGTTCAGAGGAATGAACGGGCGAGTCATCCAACTGATTGACCTGGTGTTTACGTTGACCGCAGGATTAGGTCTCTATTTTCACTCTCACAGCTCACTTATCAGATATCACACAGAAATAAATCCCTCGCCATCTGGTTTAATCATTTCCCATTCAAACAGGGCATGAAAATTACATTTAAATGAAAATATTAAAATCTGTCCATATTTGTGGAGCCACCTGTACTGTATGTAAATGCACTTAGCGAAGGCCTGTAAATGCTGATGGTCTTAAAACTACATAATTTCAATGCATGGCAATGGACCAAGTGGGGAAAAAAAAAAAAACCCGAGTGAGGATGGAGGTGTATGATATCAGAGCTGTCTTATGTTTAAACCCAACTTGTTTTAACACTCAGAGCTCCCAGGGACGCACTCAATGAAATACGACTCGAAATATGACTTTGAATTTATTGGCAGCGGTTTAATAACGATTCGTGCGATGAATGATGCGTGTTCGCCGTTTCCCCAGCAGCCGGAGAATGAGTTCACATGTGTGTTGTGCTTCATTACCCTATGCAAAAAAAAAAATGGTGGTCTGAGACGAAAGAAGTCCACGAGCATCAGCTGGATGTGTGACAGGAAAAGCTTTGGCCGAAACAAGAATACCGCTGACACCATACAGTGTTTTCACAATGTGATTGATGGCAAAGGACAGCAAATCACAGCACGATGTTCAATATTTAATGTGGTATATCTTAAATTTTACGTGACCGTTGGTCAAAATGTAAATTCAAGAAAGCTGCCGTTAAACCCTCGTCCACCCCAGTTCATCCGGAGACAGACGGTTTGAAAGGTTTCACTTGGATCACAATAACTGTGAAGACGTTTCAGTTAAAAAAAAAATGTTGAGTACGTTAATGTCACATGTTTCTTTTCTCTTCTCACAGACGTAGCACGGAGGTTTCTCCACAGAGTTCTGGGCAAATTACAAATATTGTGAGAACGCTCAGGTTGAGAAAATCCCTTTTTTAATCCCCTCTTCTATCTAGTGACAAAATATTTAAGGAGAGTTCGTAGGTCTGGACAATTAAACGAAAATTTTATCGGAGACGAGACGTGAAGCGCACAGTGAGAACATCAGTGTTGAAGTGACTGGAATGACAAAGATTCACGATCCGACACCGTTAAATAAATAAGCAGAAACCCCTAAGTTTAAACTATTTCTGAGGTCGAGAAGAATGTTTAATGTGAATATAAATCCTTATAGCTACACCACAGTGTGTTTCAAACAATTTATACATATTTACGTGCCGCCTATAAATGGTAAATATATAATAATGACAAAGAAAACAAACATACACATGAGACTGTAAATGACTGGAGGAGAACCTCTGCTGTGATTTGTCCATTCTGGGATAATAAAGTAATGGAGTCATTCTGTAACGAGCTGTGTATGACTCATGTGCTACAGACCTGGATCTCTGCGGAGGTGTGTGGTTGTGGCTGTTACCTACCCGGTGCGTTTGGTGATGGTTCCCAGGGTCATGGGCTGTTTGATCTGAGCCAGAGGCAGCACCACAGTGAGGCTGGGCAGTGGGGACAGCCGCGGGTTCCCCATGTTGTTATTGGTGAAGTTGTTGTATGAGTCCTGGTTGCTCAGTTTGGCTAAAAAAACACACACACACACACACACACATGCACAGGATTATAAAAAAATGTTTGAGTGAATAGAAGTGCATGTTCCCTGAACAGCAAGGTCAGAGAGAGGGAACATAGCAGACAAATATGTCAATCATGAGCCTTCCCAGGTAATTGCTGCATAATACAGAGAATCACATTGTGACTGCTGGTGCTGCTTCTTATACATTATTCATTTTCAGTGCTCAGCGGTTCTTTTTTCAGTTCAGTGGTCTTTACAGATGCTAATTCTAAACATTGCTCACTTGGANTGCAAATCCAGCTCTGTCGCTGTCGTCCAGAGAAAAACTCTGACCCTGCCAAAAAGTCACACCGTCACCTGACCCTCATCTCTCTTTCCACCTTAGTGGTCTTTACAGATGCTAATTCTAAACATTGCTCACTTGGAATTTAATTAATTATTTTTTTTTTTTAAATTATATTCATATCAAATCGCAGACCAGGGATTCAGCAGACTGACAACATATCTTATTTAGGGAACAGAAACACATCTACTGCACAAAAACATACATTGTTTGATATTGTGCATAGGATTTCTTTCTACCAACTCCTTGGATGCACAGAGACACAGACACACACACACACAGACACACACACACACACACACACACACACAAGCCAGGGTTCAAGGCCTCCTGTGGAATGGCTGGAAATAACCAGCTCAAGATGCTACATTACGAGGGCTCTAGCTCTGCTTCAAGTGCCTCAAAGTCTGTTAATCAAGGCCAATCAACAGGCTCCACACACACGCACACCCACATGCACGCACACAATCCAAAGGAGCACATCTCCTCTCATATATCCTATGCAGCTCCAACCAAACATAATCAGGCCATGTCAAAGGGCGTCCTGAAGGACCTTCCAGGCTCCATCAGATGGGACAGTACTTACTTACTTATGCAATAATGTGTAAAGTTAGACAACACTGCAACACCATTTGCTTAAGTGCACGTACCTGAGTTTTACTCTATTTGTGTAAAAGTTTGTCACAACTAGAACCTTAATTAATGACTTGTGGCCAAATACATGTTCTGTGAGATTACTGTGACCTTCTGCTTTTACCTTTGACCGTGAAAATGTGATAAGTTCCCGCTTAAGTATGAATTCGGTGCAAATATGAAGAAAGAGATATTGCATCCGTGACGACGGGACAGAGACTCTCCTGAGCGCTGAGGGTTTATCTGAGGAGGATAATCTGTCAAATCTAATGACACGGCACAATATTACAACGGTGATGACTTGCAAAGCATAAACTAAAAGTGAAGAATGTATACAGCCATGGTGCTCGCTCACCGTCCCCACCAAACTGACATGCATGAACCTAACTGGGCCTAAGTGAATGTGTTTTATTTTGGGGTTACAGCAGGAGCGTGGATCCATATCTTATTATCTCATTAGATATACAGTAGATATATCTATATATATCTATTTATAGATAGATTTGAGATAGTGCATGTTGTGATTTGGTGCTAAACTAATAAAGCTGACAGGCGTTGAATTGAATAGTTTGTTCCAATATGGTGGACGGTTAAATTTGCGATCCAGAACAGTTTGTAAATAATAGTTTCACCAAAATTTCAGTTCCATTTACCTCCATTGTACTGAGTGGAGGCACAATCTGGACATATTTAATAGACATAACCAACGGGAGGGAGACTATTATTATAATTATTATTATTAGTATAGTCCTAGTAGTATTATTGTGGTAGTAGTAATAGTATTGTCATTGTGGTAGTAGTAGTAGTAGTATATAATGCAATGAGTCACTGATAAACAGTTACATAGAAACATTCAACTATAGGGGATTAGAAATGTGGATTATAAAACAAATATGTTTGTAATCCGACGACAATAGCTCTAATTGTATCCTGCTGATTCAATGGGCAGACCAAGGAAAATTCCAAGTTCAAGTGCATTCAAAAGAAATAAAGAGCAAAGCTGTGCATGCACCACAATACGCCCTCTGAATGTTTTCCCTGTTCCATTTGTTGCCGTAATAGATGAGTGACAGCCGCGCAACATAAAGGAATGAAAAGGAGGGAGGGGGGCGCGGACACAAAGAAAACAAGGCGGACATCAAAGGTTACAATGAAAGTAGAGGAGGAGAGTTGCTTGTCATTATTCGGAAGGAGCGATCAAGAGGAGGCTGAATGCGAGCGGAAAGGGACTGCTGAGTGTTTTGGTCCAGTCGTTTAGATCATTAACGTGCAGCCCTGAGTTTCATTAGTCCTGCCAAACCTCCGCTTTGTGGTTCTCCGAAGGCCCGTCTTTTAGACCTCCGCTGGCCAACAATGCTGCGTGACCTTCGCAGGGGGAGAGGAGGCCATTACACAAACCTGTCCTTCATTTCCTTCTACTCCGCTCTCGGTCAGACTAACAGACGTCTATGTCAGAGCAGCGAGTGAAAGCCCTTCACATTTCAAAAGTGCTACACCCCAAGAGCCTGGGCAGCCACCTTTTGTGTTGAGAGGAGAGGGCAGACGGAGGAAAAAGGTCTGCACAGGAAGCAGCCTGAAAAGCCATAATGGTGCTTCAGCTCCCAGAGGAGAGCGGGGCTAAGAACAAGGGATGGGGGTGTGGATACATTTATTTAACTTGTGCTCCAAAGCTTGATTTGCCATCAGTCCGTCCTTCTTAAAAAAAGAAGCCTCGCTGCGGGTGTACAACAGGTGTAGCCACGCTGAGACAGGGGGTCAAGATGACTGTTGACCACACCGGTCACACCATGCCGTCACTCAAGACCGAGGGGTCCTAAACTGTCAACTCCCAGACAGTGAAGACAAGTTAGCGAGGAACGTGTTGGAGATCACGTACTGGTAAAAGATGATACGTGAACAGAAAGCCTGGACGGCTGAGAGACAGACAGTCGTACAGACAGTCGTACAGACAGGACATGTTTTGCATGATGGAGGGCTGCAGACTCAGGAAAAAGTACGAGGGGACTGAGTGACATTGCCCAAGTGAAGGTCTTTAGCCTCACTAATGAATAATTGGGACTTTTATCAACTAAGTCAATATATTCAAAGGTACATTTTAATAATGTGCTAGTTTTTCTTTTCAGCCTTCCCAGAAAATGTCTCCGTGTCCGTCTGTGTTTTTATCTTGTTGCTCTTTTTATTTTTGTAATAATTATATATAATAAACTGAAACGTGATCAGTGCTCTTAGTTACGTCTCAATCAAAAATACAAAACAACACATAACTCAGAATACCTAAAGATGTGCAAACATAATTTTTCAGAAAGAATCAACGTGGCGAGGGACAAAATAAATATATATTTAAGTGTACGCATGGATTCCAGTATAAACTGAAAACTATAGCACTGCTTGAAATCACTGCTTTGGTTTCACCGTCATCAATTTTTCAATAACGAGATGTGAGTTTGCAGTTTTCTGGGTTTAATCTGTAATATTTTAAAAGACTGTGAAAAGAAATAAAACCAGACAGGAGGCAGAGAGGGAAGAGGCCGACCAAAGTGAAGGACAGAGACGGAGAGAGAGAGAGAGAGAGAGAGCGAGGTCGACAGATGAGAAGCGTCTGGTAGACAAATAGCTCTAGACGAAGGCTATGATTTGATTAACGACCGGGGCGTGATCTGCCCAAGCATTGATACACGACATCCACATGGAAAGAAGATCCATCAATGCAAATCCAGCTCTGTCGCTGTCGTCCAGAGAAAAACTCTGACCCTGCCAAAAAGTCACACCGTCACCTGACCCTCATCTCTCTTTCCACCTTAATCCGACCATCCATCGAGCTCTCCTCCATCCATCCAATCCCTCCGTCAGTACAAACATCCCTCCCCGCCTCAACGGCATTTGCATTCTCTTCTCGTATTAAGCCTTCGCACTTTGTCTCTCTCCTCAGCTGCTCCCTGTCACGCTATCTCATGTTTCTCGTCCCTCTTTTAATACCCAATTTGCATCCAATACAAGCAGGCACCTTCCAGTGAGGATTCGACATGTGAAAGAACGAGCTCTGAAGACAGCGTGTTTCCACGCAAACACCGAAACACCCTCACTGGCAGAATCATTCAAATGTGACCCAGTCAAGCAGAAAGGACCGGAGACAAACTGGGCTGTGGGGGGGAGCTGAGGGAGCAGGTGAGGCAGGTGAGGCAGGTGAGGCAGGTGAGGCGCTAAGTGATGCTCCGGGAATCAGAAACGATCTTGGGCATGAAGATGATATTAAAACTGTGAGGGGAAGAGAAACACAAGTAAAGCGATAAAACTAAAGTTTAAATGAATTATTTCTCTTCATTTTTATTGGGATTTTTCAATGACACAGGGAGAGAGAGACTAATTAATATTAGATTTAATCCCAATAACACTGAGTATACGAAACGAAACGTTCAGATTACGTGTTTATAAAGATGTGGACAGAAAAAAAAGACGAGTCCCAGACTGTGCCGCCACTTTTCACGTAAAAAAAAAATCACAGCGACAGTGCAGGACACTAAAACACAGCTGCACTGTGCCTTAATATAGAAAAAATGCAATTTTACAGAATCAGACAATTATAATGAAAATGTGAACCAACCATTTAGAATAAATTATAGGGAACAGAACCGACCTGCTGTGGTGGTGCGCTAGATTAAGTTGGAAAAATACGTCAAAAGGGATGATTCTCCGTTTATTCATGGCGACAATATGCTGCTGAGATTATTGTTAATCAATTACCTTCAATCTGACGATCACACAGAAAGTCGGAGAGACAGAGTTTCATGGAACAGTAAAATAAAGTATAAGGAACAGGGAGTGTTTCCTTTGGTACCACGACTTCTCTTCTCCCCACTGTATTGTGAGTCATCACTTTG